GGTGCTACAGGATTTCAAAACATGGCGGCATATTGTGTTACCAATGGTTTGTTTGGTGACTGTGGTCACAACTGCCATGGGATCATTCACAAGCTCCACCCCTGTAGTTCTGGTCTGATCCGTGACTTTTCTCATGATAATCCATACCCTATGAGGCAAAATCTTCCATGGAACTCCAGACTGAGGGCTATTGATGGTTACTTTGCATTTCTTACTTTTGACAATATTCGCTCCAACAGTTGTCTTCTTCTCACCAATCTTCTTGCTAATGGTATTGTAGCCCATTCCAGCCTTGTGCAGGTCTACAATCTTGTCACTGACATCCTTTGACAGCTCTTTGGTCTTTGGCCCATGGCGGTGAGGTTTGAATGGAAGAAAGAAATCCTGTGGACAGGTGTCTTTTACTGTATACACATAACGAGCTGTCGTTAAGAGCACCTTCTTAAATTGACAGGAGTAATCTGTGTACCACATGAGCACATAGCCAGTCTGTGGGAACCAGAGTTATTGTTGGTTGGTAGGGGATCAAATACTTATTTTAGTCACTGAACTGCAACTCAATTTATGACACTTGTATCATGTGGGGTTTTTTGGGGGATTTTTGGTTGATATTCTGTCTCTATCATTTAAAATACACCTATGATAAAAATTATAGACCCTTCATTTCTTTGTAAGTGGGCAAACTTATAAAATCTGCAGGGAATCAAATAATTATTTTCCCCACTGTATGTATTCTTGATCTCCACATGCTGCGCTAAACACTTCTTGCACCCCTTACCTAGGGTGAGATAGTTACGATTTAGGAAATGTTAGTTATCCATTCACTGAATATATGAAATATACTGTATATTATTTTAAAGATAACTTTTCCTAGTAAATTATTATGGATACACGGAGAATGCTATATACAGCTGAGTGGAATAGCAAAAAAGTACTTCCATAATGGACTTATATTGGTAATGTAATGTCCTATTCTAAGAAAGCATCTTTTACTTGGCCTATTATGTTATGTTTTTTTTCAATAAATGATTGAAGCATATTAAAAGATTTCACTTTAATTAAGAGACTGGGAAACCCTTTCCCTGTAGGGGAATAATTCTAGCTCATATCTATGTATCCTGTGCAATCAGGTGTTTCAGAACAATATGAAAAGAAGCTTGATAGGGGTCTGAAAGCTTTTAGCTGCTCATGTTTTTGATTCCACAAAGCTGCATCTTCAACTGATTGGTAAGTACCAACATAGAGCGAGGGGAAATGCTGGACCTTGGCATGCCTCCCTATAGAGCAACAGTCCTTGTGAATTGAATGGTTTTATAGACAAAAATACAGTTGGTTAGAATAGAGTGTCTATGGGAACATTATGATTGTAGGAAAGACTTTCCTCGCTAAGGATTCACTGATTCTTTTTGCCATCTCCCAGTGGTGACCCACCCTGAACTTAAGGCAATATGGCAATGCCACAACAACTTAGTAACAATCTCAAAAAATAGACACAGCAATAAACAGCTGTAGACAACCATATGCCCTGCTTGGAATTATAAGTCCCTAACTATGCCACTGGCCAGTAGTATCAAAGCTCAGTCTGCCAGCATTGGGGCCCATAAATTCCCGTTAGAGCCCTCATTCCTTAGAGATATATTTATAATCCAAGAGCAAGGAAGTGCTCCACAAATCCTAAGCAGTCTGTCCACATGGCAGCAAGGGATACCACACTCTCACCACCAATGCTAGCCAAAGTTAGCCCCCTGAAGACCAGGTAAGAGGTTGCACTACTCATGGAGCTCCCCTCTCTCAAGTCAAGACAGATAGATTTGCAGTCTTCCTTCTCTGTGGAGCTCTACACAGCTTGATATACTGCAGCTTGTGTTTATTCCCTAGCTGGGGTTAGAAGTCTTGCTCAGTGCAGCTCTGCTCTGCACAAACACAGCAGTCTACTCCCTGCTGGATCAATAGCACAGCCCAGACCAGACCAGCTCTCTCTTTTGCAGCTCTGGGGACCGGAGAACAGCAGATCAGTCCTAAATCTCTTTCTCTCTCTTTCTCTCTGGACTCCTGGCACACAACTGAGCAGCATCTTCATGGCCCTCTTCTCTATTTAGAAGAATGAGCTCTATCCCAGCAAAATGCAGAGGAGTGGATAAAAGTATTGCCCCAAGAAGGTATCTAATCTAAGTAATTCTTCACTTTCTGGTACTTTGGATCCTTCCTCCTCTCCTGGCACTGTCAGGCTAGACTAAAGTCCAAACCTACTGAAGCCAATCAGGTGCCTCCTTCTACCTAGTATGGCAACAGTTTCTAACATTCTTTTAGTTATATGTATCATATGTAAGATGAGAACAGTATCTAATAAATTCTTCTAAAATGAAAACAGCCTACAAGAGTCTCTCCTAAATTGGAAGCTGTCATGAACAGTCTCTTTAAATTGCATCGATCTCTAACGTAGCACTATCTTGTAAAATGTACACAATCTATTATAACCTTTAGTACTACAACATGTCCCATTTAGGTCTCCTTGAGCACAACCAAAATGGCCTCAATAAAAATAACCTCAAGTAGGAGGTCCTGTAGACATTGATATGAAAGTAAAGTGTTGCATGATATTTCAGTGTAACTCATTCAACTCAATGACACTGTACTTATCCTTTACAGAAGCTCATGGCTACTGTTGCAGTGATAACCTGCTGAACACAAAAAAGTTAAACCTCAATAGCTGTTATTGAATGAATGAAGTAATTAGCCAGTAGCTCATGTCTTGTATGTAATCTTGTAGGACCCATAGGTCATTTACCATACCGATTCTCATTTTGTTGTATTTAAAGCAAAGGTACTCGAAAATCAATGTCAATTTTTATATTTTTAACTATTTTTGTGAATATATAAGCAGGCAAAATCCACACTATCTGTTCAGTGGGAAGAGGTAGAAACTTAACTATCTCACGACAGTGGTGTAGAAGAGCTCCAAAATAGACCTCCAATATATGAGAGGTTTGCACTAGCTGTCTTTATCTATTAGTAGCTCAAATGCCAGAAGTATCAGGCTGGTATCTCTTTGGAGTATGTTAGACTGGTTACCCATTTTTCAAAGACCAGTTTCTGAGAAACAATGTCAGGCTTGGTGTAGGCAGATTTATGTAGGATATCTTGTACATATAAATATATATATATTGTATTTAATATATATATATATATATATATATATATATACTATATGTATGTGGGACTGACACATTTACACGTAGCTGATCAGACTAGCTGCATTGTACACATCAAAAGGATAGCATAATGACTCATGTTACTGTTACATGTTAAACATGTTACTTTTATGTAAAAGGCAGATACCTTACCTTGGTATTTGGGGAATTTTATCTAATTAAACATTTAAATGGAGTTTATCTACAAGGGATTGTAAATGCAGATTTTCTACTTAACTATTTAAGAGGATAAAGAATGTGATTTGGCCAAAAGCAATACAATAAATATCTAATATGAAAATATTACGGACTGTACCACAGGCAAAAATATGCTTCAAACTAAAAAATTAGTCTAGTCACTCCCAGCAGCTGCTATTCTAAATGATGTAACCATCACCAATGAAGACTAATAAATATGTAACATCGCTCACCTGCACAAAAGCCACAAAACCACAACATATGTTACTCATATGGATGTGCAATGTGTAAAACCCCAACCTCTATATCTGCATACAATACTCTCTAGGAATATCCTTAAACATGCAAAAAAATCAATATACAAATTATATATAACACCCCCAAATGAAAGTGCAATAAGCTCAAGAAAGTGCAATACATGATCAACATTCACTAATATGCAAGTAAAGTGCAAGGGGTCATCAAATACCCTCACTTATATCTTTATAAATTGCATAAAAACAATGTACAAAATATGGGTAACATCCCCTTATAAAAAACTGAATGTGCAATATACTAGAATAGAACCTTAATTGCTCAAATAGAGTGCAAAAAAAAAGTTGCTGTGCAAATAATCATATACAAACACCCCCAAAGCACAATGTTTCCACCACCATGTTTGACAGTTGCGATGGTGTTCTTGGGGTCATAGGTAGCATTCCTCCTTCTCCAAACACGGCAAGTTGAGTTGATGCCACAGAGCTCCGTTTTGGTCTCATCTGACCACAATACTTTCAACCAGTCCTCCTCTGCATCATTCAAATGTTCAGTGGCAAACTTCAGACGGGCCTGGACATGTGCTTTCTTGAGCAGAGGGACCTTGCAGGCACTGCAGGATTTCAATTCTTGTCATTGTAGTGTGTTACCAATTGTTTTCTTGATGACTGTGGTCCCAGCTGCCTGGAGATCATTGATAAAATCCTCACGTGTAGTTCTGGGATGATTCCTCACTGTTCTCATGATCATTGACACTCCACGAGGTGAGATCTTGCATGGTGCACCAGACCAAGCGAGAATGACAGTTGTTTTTTTGCATTTGTTCCATTTGCGAATGATTGTATCAACAGTTGTCACCTTCTCACCAAGCTGCTTGGTGATAGTTTGGTAGCCCAGTCCAGCCTTGTGTAGGTCTGCAGTCTTATTCCTGACATCCTTGGACAGCTCTTTGATCTTTGCAATGGTAGAGAGTTTGGAATCTGTTTGATTGCTCCTGTGGACAGGTGTCTTTTATACAGGTAACAAAATGAGATTAGCAGCACTCCCTTTAACCGACTCCTGCTTGCCATATAGTATAATGATGGGTGCAAGGCGGTTCTCTCGTTCTGGGAGGACGTCATTTGACGTCCTCCCATTCAAACCGTGCATGTGCGGCGATCGGTGGTGCGCTGTTTCCCTTGGACACAGTGGATCACCGATCAACGGAAAGAGCCGAAGATGTCGGCTCGGTCATGTGATCAGCTGTCTCCAATCACAGCTGATCGCATGTAAATAAGGAAATGCCGGTTATCGGCATTTCTCTCCTCACGAGCTGTCAAGGTGACATGTAGGGGACATGTACACTGATCATCAGGGCACTGATGATCAGTGTGCCCTGATGATCTGTGTAGCCCCAGCAGTGCCACCTGTCAGTGTCCATCACTGCCAGCTGTCAGTGCTCATCCATGCCACCTGCCAGTGCCACATCAATGCCACATAGTGCCCATCTGAGCTGCCTTTCAGTTGCACCATCAGTGCCAGTCAGTGCCACCTATCAATGCCAGTCTGTGCCACCTATCAGTGCTGCCAATCAGTGCCACCTATCAGTGCCAGTCAGTGCCGCCTATCAGGGCCAGTCAATGCCGCCTATTAGTGTGCATCAGTGCCGCCTATCAGTGCCCGTCAGTGCTGCCTATTAGTGCTGCCTAACAGTGCCAGTCACTTCCACCTAACAGTGCCAGTCAGTGCCGCCTATCAGTGCCAGTCAGTGCCGCCTATCAGTGCCATATATGAGAGCTGCCTTTCAGTGCCCATCAGTGATGTCTGTCAATGCCCATCAGTGCCACCTACCAGTGCCTCCTCGTCAGTTCCCATCAGTGCCACCTATCAGTGTCCATCAGTGCAGCCTATCAGTGCCCATCACTGCAGCTTCATTAGCGCACATCAGTGAAGGAGAAAAATCACTTCTTTACAAAATTTTATTAAAAAAACTAAGAAAAAAAATGTTTTTTTTTCAAAATTTTCAGTGGTTTTTGGTTTGTTTAGGAAAAAATAAAAAACCCAGAGGTGATTAAATACCACCAAAAGAAAGCTCTATCTGTCACAAAAAAATGATAAAAAATTTCATATGGGTACAGTGTGGCATGACCGTGCAAAGTGCAACAGCACTGAAAGCTGGAAATTGGCCTGGGCAGGAAGGGGGTATAAGTGCCCTGTAGGCAAGTAGTTAAGATACTGCTTCTAATCTCAGCTTGCTACCTACAGTTGTGGCCAAAATTATTCAACCCCCACTGAAATTGAGTGTTTTGGCCAGTTTGACATTGCTTTTGATCATTCAGTCATCTTGCTTACATTTACATTAAAGAGGCACTTGTAGGTCAGACAAATATAACATAACAGTTATAATGAAATAACCACAAATGTATTTTCTGTGCTCACAGCATTATCAGTTTTATTCAACCCCCAAGTGACATTCAATCTTAGTACTTAGTAACAGCATCCTTTTACAGTTATAACAGCTTTTAAACGTGAAGCATAGCTTGACACAAGTGTCTTGCAGCGATCTACGGGTATCTTCGCCCATTCTTCATGGGCAAAGGCCTCCAGTTCAGTCACATTCTTAGGCTTGCGCACTGCAACTGCTTTCTTTAAGTCCCACCAGAGGTTCTCAATCGGATTTAAGTCTGGTGACTGCGATGGCCACTCCAAAATGTTCCAGCCTTTCCTCTGCAACCATGCTCTAGTGGACTTGGAGGTATGCTTGGGATCATTGTCCTGTTGAAAGGTCCAACGTCTCCCAAGCCTCAGGTGTGTGACGGACTGCATCACGTTTCCATCCAATATCTCCTGGTACTGAAGAGAATTCATGGTACCTTGCACACGCTGAAGCTTCCCTGTACCTGCAGAAGCAAAACAGCCCCAAAGCATGATTGACCCTCCACCATGCTTCACAGTAGGCAAGGTGTTCTTTTTTCATCATAGGCCTTGTTCTTCCTCCTCCAAACATAGCGTTGATCCATGGGCCCAAACAGTTCTAATTTTGTTTCATCAGTCCACAGAACACTATCCCACAACTTTTGTGGTTTGTCCACATGGCTTTTGGCATACTGCAGTCGACTCTTCTTATTCTTTGGAGACAGCAAGGGGGTACGCCTGGGAGTTCTGGCACGGAGGCCTTCATTACGCAGTGTGCGTCTTATTGTCTGGGCTGAAACTTCTGTACCCACATCTGACAAATCTTTTCTCAGTTCCTCAGCAGTCACACGGAGACTTCTCTCCACTCTACGCTTCAGGTAGCGCACAGCAGTCGAAGTCAGCATCTTCTTTCTGCCACGACCAGGTAGCGTTTCAACAGTGCCCTTTGCCTTGAATTTGCGAATGATGCTTCCTAAGGTGTCTCTTGGTATGTTTAACATCTTTGCAATCTTCTTATAGCCATTGCCCTTCCTGTGAAGAGAAATCACCTCTTCTCTTGTCTTCCTGACCATTCTCTTGCCTTCACCATGTTTGTAACCACACCAGTAAATGTCTAGAAGGAGCTGAGTATCACAGTCATTTTAAAGCTGCCTAATTTGGTGCTTATTATGCTTGATTGCTGCTCGGTGACATCCACAGGTGTTTTCAATACCTGATGGAAAGCACCTGTATGAACCTCTGTTCTTCAGAGTGGTAGTCTTTAAGGGGTTGAATAATTGTGGCAATGAAGAAACCACATAAGAACCATTTACTACTGTATTACATAAACAATTGATGTCATTTTAGTTGCATTTGGGTAGTTACAACGTCCTTGTAGGATTTGATTCTGAATACAATTCCAAATGTACACTATAGTCCCTAAACCCCTTTACAGCATTGGGGGTTGAATAATTTTGGCCACAACTGTATATGAAAGACATCTGGTAGCCAGAAATCCTGCTGAATGATAGGGGGAATAATAATACTTATTTCACTCATGAACATGCAAATCAGTGCATCATTTGTTAGACATGCACTTCTTTTACATTTTTTTATTGCTATTCTGTCTCTCAGTGTTACAATACACCTACCATTCAATTTTTGACTGATCATTTCTTTGTGAGTGGGCAAACATTCAAAATCAGCAGGGGATCAAATACTTATTTCCTTCACTGTATATACTGCCATTCATGAATAATTTGTATAACTTAATAAATTAATAAATTATTTTTATTTGAATGCTTGTGGATGAAAAATTAGTATTTATTTTAATTCTTTATTTAGTATCAGAGACTACAAAGAGTATATTGGGATTCAGTCTCATTACAAGTACTGTAAATTCAAGTGGACTTTAGAAAGCAGAGACTACAGGTAAATGCTGTGCAGTAGGTATGGTACAGTATGTGGCTATTTATGGCCATTAAAGTGGAAATAAACTTTACTATCCTTTTTAACCAAGGAAGCTGCCATCCTAGCCTCTGTTTGATTTGAATCTGCCATGGTGCTGCACATGTGATCAGTTCTGACATCAGCAATTTGATGGTTTGGCAATTCGGTTCAGAACACAAGCCAATGTGACAGCTGGCAATCCCGGCATACTGGGAATGTAACTGTTTTTTATAACCATTAAATTGATGGGTTTAGTTCCGCTTTAAGTACATGGATTCCTTCTGGTTGCTGCTGGTTGTCAGGAAACAATAGAGTAGTTCATTTGTTCAGTGTTCCGCTGTCTGAGGTAATTTGGGACAGGAAGCATCAAGAAGTGGAAAGGCAGAGAAGTAAGAGGGGAAAGAAGGGGGAGAAATGTCATTTATGTTTGTTGCTAATAAGCAGTCCTAATGCCCTCATGGCCCATTCACACTTTACATGGCGTAAAGGTAGCCCATTCTTTTTGAGTGGCATAGCAGTACACCGTAGCGTACAAACAACAGATACAAATGCAGGGCATGAGCATATATATTGTTTTTATTTAAATATCTCTTTATTATTCTATTAATAATTTGGAAGTTAGGGACATATTTATAAAAGCAGTGCCTGTGACATTGCAGTTAAATCTGCCTAGTACATGTGTTTTAAGTTAGAAGTTATGACATACCATGTGCGAATGTTTAGTGAAAGTCATCATCTGACTCCCAAGTATACAAGAAAGCTTGGAGCAGCTTATTATATGTGGAGCCACTAGTCAGGAGCAGGGGCAGACTGACCATTTGGAAACTCAGGCAGTGCCCGAGGGCCCGGGGTCAGTAGGGGTCCCATGAGATGCCCCTGGTACCTTTTTCATAGACTTTTTTGAGTTTGGGCAAGGACACAGGGACCCCATGATCCCCTATTGCCCAGGGGCCCATGAGTTGTCAGTCCGCCCCTGGTCGGGAGGTAATATGGTACAAGAGAGTCAGAGAATTGCTGTTTCTATTTGAAGCTTCAAAAAGGTATTTTGCTTTACGTCAGAATCCCTTTCAATCGGTTAACATGCTTCCATGCCATGAGTTAATAACAGCTCCCATAATATTCCATTATTCTGGCAGGTGAACCACGTTACATTAAAATCCAGGGATTCAGTTTAATATTGTAAACTTATATTTTTTTCCTTATTTGTGTGGGATAACAAATAACACTTTCTTCTAAAATAAAAGACACTGAAGCCTCTTGGTCAATCCATTAATGTATTAGAAGAGATTTGATGTGTGGCTCAGAAAAGCAATGGGACTGAAAACTGCTGATGCATCCTTTATCATAGCAATTTCCAAAAGGTTATAAATGGCATAGTCAGATAAAAATCTGCAAAACGTTAAAGCATTGATGTAAGAAATGAATGCAGATAAGGGTTCTCTATTTTAAATTACAAGTGGAGATTAAATTCTGGTGGCTAGAGATTGAAAAATCAGCAGTGTAAGTTTCTAGGATTTGTATACCACAGACTAACAAACAACTTAATGAATACTGCACAACAGCTGAAGAATGAAATGTCTGACATCTGACAAATCAAGCGCTTTCAGGCACTTAGGCAGCAGGGAGCCATTATGTACAGCTATAAACAGGCTTACGATACTGAGATGTACAGCTTGAATGCCTACCTATTTTGTGTATCTGAGCCACGGATGTATATTCCAGTCATGCAGCACACATGAATAATGATTCCCTTTCTTAAAGGCTATACCATTTTGTCTATACTGTATATGGTAACTTTTGAAACCATCTTTCAATACCATGTAATGATCTAAAGTGTTGGTGGTAGGTTGCCTTAAACTGCTAGACTATTTTTGCAATTGAAAGCAGGCTGAAAGTGGTTGAAATTGCCTGACATGTTGCTGTATAAGACCAATATACCACTGTCATCCAGCTCAATGTCTAAGTGGCTCTTACTCCTGGGAAAACAAAAATCTAAAAACAAATTGACTTTGCTGTCTTCAATAGCTATGCACTTCAGGATAGCTTTCTGAATCTAACATTTTTTCAATATTTTGGATGTGTTGGATTCTAAAAAATCCAGCATACCTTGGTTCCTTTTGGTGCCCCCCTCATCGCTACTTGACATAGTAGAAACATGGGGTGGGGATGAACCACAGCACAAAGCAGGGCCTTAAGTTCTCTTTAAAGGAGAAGTATCACTATAGGTTTAGACATTTTGTTTAATCCTACAGGGGACCTGATGCACATAACCACTAAATGCCACCCAAATCTGTCCTGTGTCTGCTGAGCATTGTGGTCAAACAACTTGTCCCACCACTTTCAGACCACAATGAAGGAGATGGATCTAGCAATGCCTATGCCTAACAATGCACATATTGGATGAGGCATGGCAGAGAGTGCACAGAAAGCCCATATGGCCTAAATTCATGCCTTCTCTGACCATTGCCAGGTTGAAGATCTGCATCCCTCTTTGTCTTGTGAAGCCCATCTGCCAGCTCTGCTGCCTTTATTGTACTGAACAGGAAAAGCTGATGATCCCACATCAAAACTTGATCCCAGACCCAAGGCCACCTGTTGCTGCCTGATTTTCAGAGGAGAGCACACATGTAACTGTCAGGAA